GGAATTATTTGCCGTTTGGGCCAAAACAACAACAAAACAACAAAAAAAGATGACGTCTTACCTGCAACACGGCAATAAAAGGCACAAAGTTGACCCTCTGCAGACCATTTTTATACAAGTCTAGAAAAGGCAGGGAAAAAAAAAAAAAGTCAAATCATTTCATTTTTTTTCACGTTGTGTACATGGTGTGCATTTTTTTTTCGTAGAATTACGAATTTTTTAGTTATTTTAACTTTGCCTAATTTCTAATTGATTTTGATTCTTAATATAAATTTAAGGATTTGTTGGAATTTAAATGAATTTAATTTCCCATTTAAATGAATGTATCTTAAAATGCTGAATGTAAATACAATACGGAATTGAATACGGAAGAACATTCCAAGTATTTTCCTTTCCATTTTTTTCTAATGAAATGTCATGTGATTTAACTTGTATTTGAACCTTTTTCTTGATTTACTTCTTCATTTATTGTCATTTTATACGACTTCATGAAATGGCTGATTTAATCTCAGCTAATTTCTGATTGAATATGACCCATGATGAAACGAATAATTTCATGCGACTTGCAATTGAATTTCAGCGCAATGCGCATTTCAAATTTCTCATTGAATCAAATGAATTTCAATTTCAAATGAATCTTATTTCTATTTGACCCAATTTCTAATTGCATTTTGGTCACAAGGACATTGAATTCAACCCTCCTTGTTGGCGCTGCAATGAAGTTGCACATCGCTGCAAACTACACGAGCAATAATCATCGTATTCTTCACATTTATGACGTACGTTTGTAAATCCATCTCTTGATTGGATCGGTTTCGTAACGTCGCGCCCACGACTTTCCTCTCACCTTCAGGGATGCGGTTGGACGTGGCCACGACGACCACGCCGCGGAGAAACAGGTTCTCAAAAAGCTGCTTGAGAATCATGGCGTCGGCGATGTCCGTCACCTGGCACGACCGCACAACACGGTGAGGTCTAGTTTATATGAATTATCATCATCATCGTCATCATAAGAATCAAAGCCCAGTCGCTACCTGAAACTCGTCAAAGCACAGCAGACAAGCTTCCTCGCTGATCTCCTCGGCGACGGGCGCGATGGGGTCGTAAGATTTGGCCATCTTGCCCACTTTCCTCTTTGGCAGACTCTGCTTCAGCCGATGGATCCCTGCGCAGTCGCATTATGTGTCCGAAAATGTCCATTATCACCCGGGCGGGAATGTTTGTCAAGCATGGCAAAAATATCACAAACAATTCGTCACAATACCGACTAAGATAAGTGATTAGAGCCGAGAAAGTGATATGGGTGCCATTCAAGACAACTGGAGCAATACATCATGAAATGGACATTTTATTCCACCTCGCACATCATCAAATCACACTCACGTTTGTGGACGTCCAACATGAAGCCGTGGAAGTGGACCCTTTTTTTCTTTTCCGTCTCCACGTGCGAGTAAAACATGTCCATCACCATGGTCTTACCCGTGCCTGAAATAATGATCACACGTCATTTGGTATCAAAATTAAAAAGGCGATACGGTCTTGAGTATCCCTTACCCACATCGCCGTAAATGTAATAACCCTTGGGAGGCTTCGGCCTGGTAAAAAACTGCAAAAAAAAACGTACATTGACTGCATGAGACAGCATACAGTACAGTATCAGGTGTCAATTATCAATATTATGATTAAGCCGCTATGAGCCAAGTTGTGGTGGCCCGGCAAGAATCGGCACTGGCATTGATTTAAAACAATACTAAAGGTAATTCGTGATTATGTCGGACTATCTGTGGCTGAAACGGTGAAGCGTTGAGACTCAGTGGCCAAAATGCACGCACGTATAATGTCTGTGAACGATCAAAGCAGCCACTTAAAAAATAAAAATAAAAAAATATCCACACTCTCCACTTCCCAGTATATCCAGTCAATATTGTGATTTAAAACAACACTTAACCACATTTACAATTTAAAGTGTCTGTTTTCTTCCCATCAGCACCGTGATTAGGTTCACATAATATCACAACATTGTATCGTGAGTGACTAAATGAATCCGAACACCAATTATTGTACCTTTTGCGTTGATAGTTTTCGTCCCATCCGGCAATTACCGTATCAAGATGTTATCCGTTCTAAATCATTGATGAATCGACAACTGGGAGACTGAGCGGCCAAAATGCAGGCACGTATAATGTCTGTGAATGATCAAAGCAGCCACTTAAAAAATAAAAATAAAAAAATATCCACACTCTCCACTTCCCAGTATATCCAGTCAATATTGTGATTTAAAACAACACTAAACCACATTTACAATTTAAAGTGTCCGTTTTCTTCCCATCGGCACCGTGATTACGTTCACATAATATCACAACATTGTATCGTGAGTGACTAAATGAATCCGAACACCAATTATTGTACCTTTTGCGTTGATAGTTTTCGTCCCATCCGGCAATTACCGTATCAAGATGTTATCCGTTCTAAATCATTGATGAATCGACAACTGAAAGAATTGATCTGATTCTTTGAATGAACGATGGGGTAATCCAGAGAAAAATCGACTCTTAAGAATATTCGATAGTAACAGGACAGCCACAAAATCGGATCATTGCCAATTATCTCTGTGATTTATCATGACATATGGCAGCCATTTTTTTCTCCCTAATTACGCTTATCAAGCAATTTCGGTATCATGATTTTATCACTACTCTTTGCCAAATATCACCACACCTAATTCATCTCCAATTATGGCATTCATCCTCTATTCATTCTGATTTGTGAACTTGTGAAACTGTCACGAAATATTATCCAAGTTTACCTTTTGGAAGATAGACGTGGTCGTGTTGCTGTAACCGCGGAGTGTTTTGTGCAGCTGGTCCAGTTTGCGCATCACGGCTCTTTGGTGCTCGTCCTCCCGCAGGATCCCATCCCGGATCAGCCCGCTGTAGTGATCCAGGGGGCCGCTGAAGCCACCGCTGGTCTCTGTCGCCGCCTCACGCCGGGCTTCCCTCCCGCAGGATCCCATCCCGGATCAGCCCGCTGTAGTGATCCAGGGGGCCGCTGAAGCCACCGCTGGTCTCTGTCGCCGCCTCACGGCTGGCTTCCGCCGCGTAGTCTTCTCATAGAGAAACAACAACATGGCAGGGTCAGACAATTTTGCCTAGTTTGTTTACAACTGAGAGCGACAAAACAGGTGGCTCAAGTATTCACCAAGGTTGTAATAACTACAACTAATCAACTAACTCAAAATAAAGTTGAAAAAAAAAAAACGTTTTCGATAACTTAGTATTCATTCATTTTTAAGTCTTAATTTTTTTTCCCTATGGATGACACCTATTATAAAAAAATTATGTTTTATTGTATTCAGTAAAAAGAGGCTTTCAGATTTTGGGGGGTTGAAATGATCGATTTTATATGCATTGTGTTTTTCAAGTTATGATTGTTTCTCTTATGCGGAGATTCACAAATTATTTTGCATGGTTAAGGAATTGCGTCATTAGCTTTTTTTTTGGGGGGGGGGTAATAATTCATTGATTATGTTGTCTGTTTCTGAGGTTGGCAAGCTTTCCGAGGAGAGCAGACTTTTGAAAATATGAAAGAACTTTATGGGAATTTGAAAAACAGAATTTGGTGCATTTTCATTGCTTTTAAACAGTGAGAACTTTCTTTCTATTTGTCACGGGGAAATGATCCTTAAATCACTGAAATCGTCTTTCAAAGACCATTTGATAATGGCTCTTTCATGGGAACCGATTCATCTTGAAAAAGTCATGCACATACGTACTCAAGATTTTGGCTCGTCACTTCCAACCACTGCTACAAACATGTCGCACGATTTTGGAATTAGGAACAACGTGGCTTTGTTAAGGAGTGACAGCTGGCCGGACACGGAAAGTTAAGTAAGAACGCACATTGGATTCACATAACGAACTAGAATACTTATTTTGACGATAATTATGTGCCATATAGCTCAGGTTAGCGCACCTTTAAATGGGGACTATTTTTTTCGAATAACAAAGCTCACACCCCAACCAAAAAAAAAAACCCAAAAAAACCAAACAAATAAACTCACCAATAACCCGTCTCACCTCGTCTGCGACACGACATTACAGTTTTGAGTACTTCGATTGAGGATCGCTGAGCTCTCCGGAGCAAAGTGCAGCCCAGAGAGGCTGGGGGTGACATCTTGGATGACAGCGGCATCCACACCGCCATCTTGATTCAAAATAACTTTATGGATAAAGTGACAGCGAACAAAGTTCTGTAGTTTTATTAGCTACTGACAGAGGGAGACATCGCTTCCATTTTGAGTCACTGGGTGACAATTAACTACTGTACTGGGTTCTCTCTCTCTCTCTCTCTCTCTCTCTCTCTCTCTCTCTTGCGCAATGATTGTGACCATTCATTTTATTTATTGGCACCTTTCCGCACACTCAGGGTGACTTTACAAAGAATAAATTACAGAAGAAAAATATTAAAATATCCAGAAAATGTACAAATCTCAATTTCATAAACGTATTCTGTTTTGTGCATTTATGACTAAACATCTACGCAACAATGAAAGCACAATAGCTATTTACATATATGATGAGAAAAAATATTGATTTTACACATTATCTCCACAGTAATTAATCACAGAGGCAATTATTGTTCATTCCTAAAAATAAGTCGAGTTTGTAGTAGAGCACCATATAAGGTCGCGCATCCTCCTGTCTTGTGAGGTCGGTGCAGAAACGAGTGCAATTTTGCCTCCACCTCAGTGAGCCGCAGACAAAACATGGGAGGCTTACAGGCTTGTTCCCATGACAACCGAGCAACCCCATCACTACGAGCCTGCCACTACCTCGAAGCACATCCACCCTCTCTCTCTCATCCCCCCCTCCCTCCCCCATCTGTTTGTCTGTCTGCTGTACACACACAGCAGCAGCGTTACATCCGCTTTTAAAACTGTAAGGACGAGCCAGGCACGCCAGGGCCCCTCCTGCTTGTCTGCGTCGGGCGGTGAGTGTTTACATCCTTTGTCAACGGACGTCTCCTATATGGGTTAGAAGATGGACGCTGTCGTGGACGCTAATCGTACTTCATAGCCGGGGAGTCATGGAGAAGGCAATTACCCCCCCACCTCAGAAACAACCTCCCACCCTTTTACCGCTGAATGCATTTGTCTAATGAGAGACTGCGGCAACGTTAAAGGGGATGTGATGATACAACAAGGGTGGTTTTGTCACAGAAAGACTGTATAATTTCTCTTTTTATTCTTGGGTAAGTTGTGCATTCTAATCAGGTGGAATTTTTGTTTTCATTTTATTTTGTTGTTAGCTCCAAATGAGTGCACCCGCAGCGACGGTGCAGCAGCAAGCAGACGGGAACGACGACGACGACGGCGGTGAAATGCAAGCGGCCGCGGTGGCACCATCCTCCTTCATGCAGGTCCAGTCGGGCAAGATTCCGGGCAGGAAGCGAGGCAGACCCCCGCTGCGCAGTGTGACCAAGATAGATTTCGCCAACCGCTACGCCGACTCGCTGCCGCCACTCAAAGTGCCGAAGAAGAGGGGCAGGAAGCCGGGATTCAAGGTCAGAATGGGGCGGCGAGGGCGTGGGGATACCTTGAAGTTGAATTTGTTTCGCAATCAAGCTCGAATAAGTGAGTAGGCCGAATAATTTTAGCGGATTTGGAACGATATGCAGGACAACCAGTGTACCTCAATCATGTTGACATTTTGAGTGAGTTGATTTTTGTGAGAAAAAAAAATTACAAAATGAGTTCTAACACGTAATGTTTGGTTTCTTGTTCAGCAGTTTTGTGCTGTCCTTGAATGGTTGGTCATTTTTATGGAAGGGGACCCTTTGCACCGGAAGAAAAATCCAGTGGTTGTGTGATTATTTTGTTGTTTGCTTCAAACCTTTGTTGTTGTGTTAGGATGGCGGATCTGTTATACTTGCATTGAAAAGTCTATTATTACCCCACCACCACCAAAAAAAGCAACAAAATGGCAAAAATTGACCATTTCATGTTGGAGCCATGTTTCATGTCAGCCTACTTAGTGCAACAGCTCTCCAAGATGTGATCACGCCTGTTTAACACCAGACGAACAAGCAGATCGAATCTGAGGCACGTGTTAGTTTTGGCAATGGAAATTTACAGTTACAATGTCTTTCAAAATCTTTTTTTTTTCTCAGAACCGAGTGATTCCATCGTTTTTCCCTCTGCTCGGTCTAAAAATGTAAATGACTACCAACTTTTTTTTTCTTGATTTCACATAGTGTTTTTAAAACCAGAAAGTTGACTTTTGAAATGACTTCAGTTTTGTGTCATCTGCTTTTTTTCCTCCCACAGAATTAAACAACTGAAAGAATATCCTCCGCGAGTGCTGATTCTATCATTTTTTGCCATGGGTTGTACACCCTGCCTGTAGAATTAACATCTTAATGATGGAATTGATTGGAAGATTGATTTTGCATCCCAAATATTTTACCGTTGACACGAATCAATCAATCAAAATAAAACAATCAAGTCTTCCTGGAAGGCCTGCCTCAACAAATGTGTTTTGAACTCCTTTTTCTTGTTCTTCTGCAGCTGAAACCCAGAATGGTGATGACGCCGTTGGCCATCTCGCCGCCCAGCAGCACCCCCGAGCCCGACATGAGCTCCATCCCTCAAGACGCCGCCACAATCCCCCACTCGGCCACGCCGCAGGTGCTCACAGGTAGGAGGGGACCCCAAGTCAGCCAAAGACCTCATTCACAAGGCTGCAAATGGAAAGGGGGGGAGTGGGCGGCGGTGCTGGCCCCCGCCTGGATTTTTGCAACCAGAGAGAGATGGGCCACAGATGAGGTTAAAACACAAACTAAATAAATAAACTAAATAAAACAAATAAATAAACAACAGGGATCATGTAAATATAAAATATGTGAAACAGTTTCTGTCACGAATAAAAAAATTTTTTTTCTCAATTTCTAAAATTGTATTATTACAAATACATTTGAACTATTCATCCAATACAGTAATTGGATAAGCTAAATACAACATTGTTAAGTGTATATGTCAAATACAATCCTTCATTCGTATTGTCTGATTGATAATTAATGTCATTGTAATTGACTAACAAATGAGTTAAGATAAAGGACAAAATTTTAAAAGTCTATGTAAAATTTTGGGTTTTAGTAATAAAATGAAATCTCATCTTTATTTGATTAGTTTTTATGATAATCAGCTAATTATTCAACACAATAAATAAAATATGTTAATGTATTTGAAAAATTGTTAATTTTAATCATTTTTATTGTTTTTTTCGGGGGGGGCAAATTCTTGAACCAATAATGAAAAAAAATGTGAATGCACATGTATTTTTAAAAATAAAAAATTAATTAATTTTTTTTTTTTATTGGACAGTCGACCCTCACATTCAACACCCTCAAATTTGCATCGTCACAGATTCCCCCCCCCCACAAATTTTTACTTCATTATTTTTTCATTTATTTATTTCTTGTTCTTATCAATTTATTATGAATTAACCACTTATTCACTGAGAGGGATTATTTTTTTAAAATGTGTGCAAAAATTCCCCAAAGAGTTGATGGTCGCCACCTCTTGCATTCAGTGTGCATCTACATCAACAAGCAGGCCAACACGGGCCCGAACCTGGACCGGAAGAAGATCCAGCAGCTGCCCGATCACTTCGGACCTGACCGGCCGTCGGTGGTGCTGCAGCAGGCCGTGCAGGGATGCATCGACAGCGCCTTCCAGCAGAAGACCGTCTTCACGCTGCTCACGCAGGGATACGGGGGAGAGAAGATCTCGGGTAGATTTTCACTCATCGCACACGACGCATCTCGTTCTCCATAGCCGCCGGTCACTCGGCTTAGTTTTCATTCAAGCGACTAAAAGGACAAGCGCGTAGCTTGATTTAAGAAGTCTGCATTTGTCCACGTTGGGGGACTGTTTGGATCAGCTGAGTATGCGGTCCGCAGAGCTTTATCAGGATCCTGCGCTTATCTGTTAATTTAGACTTTTTTTTTTAAAAAAAATGGACTCCACCGACTATGAGGGCAACTGATATTTCTGCGCATCTGAACCGCAGCCACATTTGACGGCAAGCAGCACCTCCTGAGCCTCCCTGTGGTGAACAGCATCGACTACGTGCTGCGCTTCCTGAAGAAGCTTTGTCGCAGCCTGCACTGCGAGAACTTGTTTAGCGACCAGCCCATCAGCCAGCGTGCCTCCTACCACTCGGACGGTAAGACGCCCAATCATACTCCACGTCTACGTCCCTGCTGTATCACGGATCGATGCCGTTTATGTTCATCATTTTTCACAGCCCCTTCTTTCCCGCTTCCATCTCGCCCGTAGTGGAAACGTCTCTGGCCGAGGATTACCGGCACGAGCAGGTCGACGGGAAGCGCTACCCGGTGGCGGAGCACAGAGAGTCCGCTTTCAACTCGATCAGCTCCTCCTCGTATTCGTCTTTGCCAAAGTCCTCCTACGGCTTCCGCGCATCGCAGCAGTTCTCCAACGCGCCGGTCGCCTCCAGGCCGTCGCCGAGCAGCCCCGGCGCCTTTGTGGAAAGCAACAGGACAGGTGAGGCCATTGCCGGTCTGGTCGCCAGCCAATTATGGTTTCTTTCGTAAAACAAACATTTCTTCAAGTAAAGTAAACTAAATGGCAAACGGATGGAACTTAAACTTAATTCAACTCATCTTTATTTATATTGCCCGTATACATACTTTCTTACCTGACTACTTATACAATTGACACTCACTCGCTCATTCACCAACAAACTAACTCCCTAACATACTAACTACCCCTAATTCAGTAACTAACTTACTTTCTACCTTAATGACTGCAAAACTCGTTCACTAACTGATGTACCAGCTAGCTAAATAACAACTCAAACCACTCGCATACAAATGTACTAATTCCTTAACATACTAACCCCCTCTAACTCAGTAACTAAATTTCTCTCTTCACATAACTTATTAACTTACCAGCTACAGTCGAACCTCATTACGACGCACCTCGAGGGACATCACGAATCTGTACGTTATAACGGTAGCTCGTTGAAACCATTTCCAATAAAATGGCCGCCGACTACGATGTATAATGCAGAACATTATAGATGTAAAAACATCAACATGTAATACCGTATAAATATGTCAGTTACAAATACATCCATACGGTATGAAGAAAACATTTAGTCAGCAAATGAAAAGTGCCTCTTGTCCAGTTCAGGATGTGCCGCCCCCCCGAAGCCATTTACGATCATCTTTCAGTCTATTGGCCTTGAACTCTGCCATGATTGTGTTGATATTTGTCGAAATCGTTGACTTTGCCAATTCGGAGTCTCGGCTGAGTTTCGTCTTTCGAAAGTGAGAGACAATTTCATTTGGGAAAAAAATCTGGTTGTTATAATCTTTACCTTATAAAGGTGTTTGTTGTAAGCAAAATGGGCAAATGAAAAATGAACTCGTTAAAATTGGGACTTTGAAATATTAAAGTTGTAACTAACAGACTGACTGACCTAAAGTCATCTTATTTCGGTCGCAAATTACAATCTAACTCATTCACTGCTACTTTAACAGTATTTTAGTTTTATTTGCAATTTTTCCTCATTCGAGTGTGCGGCGAGTTGTAGCATACAGCATTGATGAGCGTTTGTCCCGTCAGGTGGGTATGCCGCACAGGAGTCCAAGGCCCCGCCCCCCGGCAAGGATCCGTCCACGTGGAGCGTGGACGACGTGGTGTGGTTCGTCCGGGACGCCGACGCCAACGCCCTCGGACCTCACGCCGACGTCTTCAGGAAACACGTGAGCCCAGACCACGCATAGTATTATCATCATAATTCATAATAAATAAGAGTTATAGATGAAAATAGACACATAGGCCATGTATTCGTAGATGAGGTGAAAGAAAGTTATTGCCCCCCCCCAACCCCTAGGAGATCGACGGTAACGCGCTGTTGCTGCTCAAGAGCGACATGATCATGAAGTACCTCGGCCTGAAGCTGGGGCCCGCCCTCAAGCTGTGCTACCATATCGACAAGCTCAAGCAAAGCAAGTTGTAGGATCATCGCACCTGATTGGTCCGTTGACAGGAACTCTCGGAAGAAAACGGGCACAGTAGGCTCACTGTTGTAGCTGCTGACTGGGTCAAATCGAGGAGGAAACAATGAATGACTGTTAATGAAAACCCCTTTCACACTCCCTGGAAAATACTTTTTTTTTTTTTTGTCTTTGCGTTTTCTTGGCTGTTCGCGATAAACAACGCTGACATGGAATGGAGGAAGAAAGCTCGGACTGAACAATTTTGAATATTAGTCCAATTGGAAAGAAGTCCGTTAATCATAATACACACAAATAAGTGGCTATATCACTTTAACTTTTCATCTTTCATGAAGCTAAGACTGCACTTCTGAAGCATTGAACTGAGGTAGACACTATCAACAGTAAATAATATATTTTTCAAAAAGTAAAGCCTACTGACGAACCAAAATGCAGCAGACTTTTGTTTTGTTGAGTTTTTTTCTCCATAATTGCGGCCTTTTTTACTTGAAAATTCCTTTCGACTACATTTGCAATATCAATTTGAATTTGATTAATCAGCCCTAGACAAAGCTGACCCAAATTTCGGGTTTAGTATCAAAGCGGTCACGGAGGCAGGAGAAAAGGAGATCAAATGAATTATTATTTTATCCAAATAAACAGTTTTACATGCACATGTGAACTGTTTTTGACTCATTGGTCTGTTTTGAAAATCCAATGTGGCCCCTTGAGCACAAAAGCTTGCCCAGCCCTGCTCTACAGGGTGCTTTCATTTTATAAATACCCGCACCGAAAAAAAGCGAAAAGCATTTACTTTATTTAAAGATATTTCTATGCTATTGTTTTTTTCGGAAGCGGTGCCTTTACTGAATTAGCCTGTTTTACAATAATTTGATGTAAAATGACGGTATCATTCCGAGGAAGCGCAGTAAATATGCATATCTATACATATACACAAGGGTTGGAACACAAAACGATTTCAATCGGGAAAGTTGGTTTTGATCTAGCGAAGTGTTATACTGCCTCCTGGTGGCCAAGGCGGGCATACTGGAAGGAACGGCACAATGAAATAAATTGCAGCATTATTCATTCTTTGCAGTCTAATTATGTTATTACTCCTGATGTGGCCAAATTGAAGCACTGAACTGTATTGTCCTTGAAACGTATTTCAATTAATGTATTGAATCCTTCTATATATATATATATATATATATGTTTTTGTGTGTGTGTGTGTGTGTGTGTGTGTGTGTGTGTGTGTGTGTGTGTGTGTATTTAATATTGGAACAGCATTCTTAAATGGTATCGTATGCCATGTATCGCGATACCTTTTGAATCGTCTATGGTTGGAGAGATGCACACCCCTAATGTACATGTGTACAGATAATACAGAATGTGCGGAAGTGTTTCACTGTGCACAAATGTCACAAGCCTCACCATTTTCAAAGTTTATCAGTGTTGACATCGACGAGGACGATCTGTGTTTTGTGATGGTGCAATGTCGAGGAAAATATAAATATGTGTGTAATCCTGTCTGTGAGTATTAAATCAAGACATGTTAAATACTACTTATGCCTCCGTGTGTCTTATTTTTGTGTCATATATTTGTATTATCTTCTCATAATTCAATTTTGTTTCTAGTATTTTTCATATTTACCTTTTTTATTTTGTCATAATTAAAAAAAAATGTTTTTATCTTTTTCTTCCACCATTGTTAATAACCTGGTCGCTTATTTTGTACCATTGTATACTATGTTGGTGTTAACTAGTATTTTTTCAAAACATTTTCCATTATTTGTGTAACTTTGATCTGATATTTCCCTTTTTCTTTTTTTTTTTGTGTGCGTACGCGTGCACACAGCAGGTAGAGATGCACGATCGCGACGCGCGGGTCATGCTGTGATGCGTTCAGGCTCCTGCGCTCCGTCCGACAAACGACGCTGCTGGTGCTGCTGTTGCTGCTGCACCTCTTCATCGGGAACAACCTCGAGGAGAACATCATCGCAGCATCGCCGGCAACCGGTTCCTTGTGCATTGCGCACCTCCCTCCGACCACCAGCTCCTCAATCAGCCCTCCTCCTCCTCCTCTTCGCCTCCTCCTTCTCCTCCTCAGCCTCGTCGCCACCGGAGGGGAGTTTTTCCTGTGTACTTTGCAGGGGGAGAAGAACACAATAGCAGTCCGATAAGGTAAGCCGCCCTCCCCGGTTGTTTCGTTGCGTTGTGGACGGACGAGTTGAGTTTATTCTTCCACTGCGCAATTTCTTCAATTGCGCATTTGTATTTATTTTATTTATTTATTTTTGCGTCCTGCAGCCTCGGCATGATGTGCGCTCTATTTTTCTTTTTTTTTTTTTTTTTTACATTTTATTTCAGGGTTCACAAATTGGCGCATCTTTCCCAACACACACACA